AGGACCCGACCGCCCACGCCGAGGTTGTCGCCATCCGAGCCGCCGCGGCGGCCGCCGGAGATTGGCACCTGACCGACACGACTCTCGTTGTGACGCTCGAGCCGTGCGTTCTGTGTGCTGGGGCAATCCTGGCGGCGCGCATCCCGCGCGTGGTCTTTGGCGCCTGGGACGACAAGGCCGGCGCTGTCGGCAGCGTCTATGACCTGTTAAGGGATCGACGCCTTAATCACACGGTCGAGGTCACGGCCGGCGTCGAAGCCGACGCGTGTGGGTCGCTACTGGTCGACTTCTTCGAGTCGCGTCGCTGACCGTTCCCCGCACCGGTGTTAGCCGGTGATGAAGACGGCGTGACCGACCCAGTTCGAGGTCGACAGCGCGTCGATCGCCGCGCGGCCGACCGTGTCGAATCGGGTGTTGTAATGCCACCACACCGCGCGATCGATGCTCGCGCGATACGGCTTAGTGCTCTCGCCGGCGACGAGGCGGGATGGTCGCAGCGCGGTCCAGTCCGTGCCGCTGCCGCGCAGAGCGTCCTCCATTCCGCGGGTGTCCGCGAAGGCGGCACCGAAGAGACGGGCGATGAGGGGCTTCGCGACAAAGCGGGAGAGTGGGTCATCTCCGGCGACGTAAGCACCGGCGGCCGAAATTGCAACGATGCGCTCGATGCCTGCGGCGGACATCGAGGCCAGCAGCGCCCCGATGCCGTAGGTGAGGATGGTCGGGTCAGTGTCCCCGGCGACGTGACCGAGGCAGGAGACGACCGCATCGCATCCCGCGATGGCAGCAGTCAGCGTCGCGACATCCCGGGCATCCGCGACTCTGGCGGTCGCTCCATCGGGAGCGCTCGAGGCGGTGCGCACCACGGCGACGACCTCGTGCCCCGCCTGGAGCGCGCGCGTAACCGTCGCCCTGCCCGTCCGTCCGGATGCACCAAGAACCGCGACACGCATGTGAATGCCTCTCGAACCGTGGTTAGTGAACACTTACTAACTAGGATAGTAAACATGTCCGTCCCGACCGAAGTCAAGCCGGCCCGGGAGCGAATCCTGGATGCCGCGGCCGCTGTGATGCGGGAAAAGGGTGTCGCAAACACCACTACAAAGGCGATCGCGGCGGCAGCGGGATACTCCGAGGCAATGCTCTACAAGCACTTCGCGGACAAGCAGGAGCTCTTCCTTCTCTTGCTGAAGGAACGTCTGCCTCTCGTTCGCCCTCGCCTTGCGGCCCCAGGCTGGGGTGATCTCGCGGCGAACCTCGCCGACATCGTCGACCAGTTGATGAACTACTACGCCGAACTCTTTCCGATGTCCGTCTCCATATTCAGCGCCCCCGACCTGCTCACACAGCACCGCGAGGGCATCCAGCGACACGGCGGCTGGGGTCCGGTCGGCCCGGTCCGCATGCTGAGCAACTACCTCGATGCAGAGCGGGATGCCGGACGCCTGCGGGACGACGCCGACACCGCTGTCGCCGCGCAGCTGCTGGTGGGAATCGCCTTCCACCAGGGCTTCCTGGCCGCCTACGAGGGCAAGACCATCGTCAACAACTCGCCGGCCCTTGCGGCTGCGGCGGTTGCGACGGTGCTCCCCGCCCTCATCCCGCCGACTGGTTAGTCAGCGGCCTTGATGATGATCGACTCGGTGAGGGTCGAGCCGTCGCTGGCCGGACGGTAGACGTCGGGATCGCGATCATCAAGTTCGTGGCTTTCCTGTTCTCCGGGTCGAGCTCGATGCTTGCGGAGAGCGTGCATTCGCTGGCGGACACCGGTAACCAGGGGCTGCTGCTCCTTGGCGGTCGCAAGTCGCGCAAGCAGGCGGATGAGGCCCATCCATTCGGCTACGGACGCGAGCGGTTTGTCTTCGCGTTCATCGTTTCGATCATCCTGTTCTCCGTTGGAGGCGTCTTCTCGATCTGGGAAGGCATTCAGAAGCTTCAGGAACCGCATCCGCTCGAAAACCCGTGGATCCCGGTCATCGTGCTCGTGCTCTCGATCGTGCTCGAGGCGTTCTCGTTCCGCACCGCGATCCGGGAGTCGCGCCATGTTCGCGGCAAGGAGTCGCTGGTCACGTTTATCCGCCGCGCCAAGGCGCCCGAGCTGCCCGTGGTCATCCTCGAGGATTTCGCGGCGCTCGTCGGCCTGACGCTGGCGTTCTTTGGTGTCGGACTCACGATCATCACGCACAACGGAA